AACTAAACCCAATAGGATTATAGTAATATTTTAATGCGAAGATCCATTTACAACCTCAGCAGCGACTATTAACAACCGAATGAGAGGGCATTAACAACCTAAGCAATATCCGTTAATAACTTATTTTATAGAATTATATAACTTCTAGCTATAACTAACTAAATTATAACTAAATAGTCTTAAAGTTAATCTTATATAGTTGTTAGTTAATCTTATATAGAATTATATAACCTCCGCATAAGACTATTTAGTTATAATTTAGTTAGTTATAGTTAGAAGTTATATAATTCTATAAAGTAAGTTGTTAACGGATACTGTTTAGGTTGTTAATGCCCTTTCATTCGGTTGTTAATAGTCGCTGCTGAGGTTGTAAATGGATTTCGCATTAAAATATTACTATAATTTTATTGGTTTTAGTTAAAATTCTTAATGATATCAAAAAGCTTCCCATTTTAGTGTTAAAGTTGTTGTATTATACTATTTGGTTATAATTTACTCTTATATGGAGGTTATATGATTCTATAAAGTAAGTTGTTAACGGATACTGCTTAGGTTGTTAATGCCCTCTCATTCGGTTGTTAATAGTCGCTGCTGAGGTTGTAAATCGCAATGACAGACCAAATGTGAATCTGGAATATGAGGAGCAGTAATGTCATTTTACAAATCGAAAATATTACTCTGAGGTCCCTTGGGACCTGTCAGTGATTTTAACATTTCGTGGGACCTTAGATGAATAAATTACTTTCTGTGGGACCTGTCAGTAATTTTCCTTTTATTGACACACAATATAAAACTGTAGCAGCTAGAGATGCACAAAATGCACACCCTTTTACTTTCTCATCAAGATCTTTTTGGTTTTTTTACTTAGGATGTTGGAATGACCAACTCCTTTTTAAAAAAAAAAAAAATTTGTGCCTGTGCACACCCACACTGCTCTGTGCACACCACGAGGTAACCTCCTATTTACTTCGTAATCCGTAAAGAAACCATGGTATCCATTAAATCTATTTATTTTACTGAGTGAATTTTCCTGCCATGTTGATATGGTGATTTGAGTGCCCTAGCTGGATAAAAAGTGGCGCAGTAGTTTGGCGATTATAATACTATTTATGAAATTTGGTGCTATAAGGCTGTTTAAATAACTAAATACCACTTTTTTTTGGCGATTATAATGCTATTTATGAAATTTGGAAGGCTGTTTAAATAACTAAATACCACTTTTTCTGTCTCATGAGATCAATTTTTTTCCCTTAAATAGAAAACTCAAGCTTTTGCCATTAAAGAAAAGGAATAAAGTTGTTCAAGTTGAATACTTTTAAGTACAACTATTGTTCACCATCTTTCATGAGTCTTTATTTTTATTCGCTGCACGGTTTTAATACCAAACTAGGATTAGCTCAATAACTCAACAAGCAGCTTAGTGACTATTCAGCTCATCAATAAAGTTACTTTTAAATTGCCTTTTTTCTAACTTTATTGTTATTTGTTGCATATTTCTCCTAAAACGTGGAAGTGTTCATGTTTCTTTTCCACGGGTCTGTGTGAGATTTTTTTTTTTTTGGAATGAAAAATGAAGAAGTTAAATTGAAAACTCAAAAAAGCAGCTTACTCTATATGAATTGATGGGCTCGTTCCAAAATAGTAAATGGAACTTTTAAATTAAAAAAAAAATCAATGAGTTACTAGTATATAGGGCTCGTTAATTATTATCAAGATGCACATTCTACTTGGTATTATTTTGATAATTAAAAACCTTAAATTAATATCCTGTTCTAATTCCCGGCCTCAAATGCTAATGGGTCAAAATCAAGAGTGTGAGGAAGTCTTCCTTTGTGTGGTCCTCCATGGTTGTTTCTGCTCTGTCTTCTTGTGAGAAAGCATACTTCATCATGAAGGAGCAGGGAAAAAGGCACATCTCACTCAATTAAATAAGAAAACCCCATTGAATTAAAAAAATACAGTATAGTTTTTACCCCCCAAGTCTGCATTATATCTCAGTAAACTTGAATAGGCATCACAAGAAAATATGTGCAGATGTTTTAAAAATCTGGAGCCACAAAACTCTTCAACCAGATGGGCAAGGGAGACCAGAGAGCAAAGCACCGGAAATATCTATAGGTAGTGGAGGACGCTGAGTGAAGAGGAAAATCATTAGAAGTGATTCCCTTTCCTTTATGTTTCTTTCCATTTTCTGTTCTGTTTCTTGTGTTTTGATTCTCCGAGTTATAGAAAGATGAGAAGAAAATAAAGACTGGCAGAGCGAAAATTATCAGAACATAACAATGGCAATAAGCGTCGCCTCTGGAGCAAGATGGCCACCATATAGGGTGGTATATTGAGGATGCTTCTCAGAAGATTCACCATTATGTTCACGGCCTTCTTCTGCACAGCCTAGATAACCATGAAATTGAAGCTTATCAATCATCATGTCATGTGTCTAGGACCGATAATGGAACCAAATATGTGTTCAAATTATAGGTTTTCAAAACAATATTAACCTTTGGCCAAAAAGAAAAAAGAAAAAAATATTAACCATTATAAAGAAGATAAAGAAGGGAAAAAGTTGTTTTATGCAGTAAACTGATTTCAGAAACTTCTAAAAACAGTGGTCACATTTGTACCATAGGTTATACTTTAAAAAGACAAAGTGCTTCAACAGAAAACACTAGAAAATCATGAACTCTATGGCCACCAGGGAACATTTGGAGTCTCAAAGTAAATATGAAAAGAATCAAAATTCCAGCTCCATATAACATTTTGAAAATCTGATTGAGTTCTCTTTGTCATGGTTTGAATTAACTCCTTTTGCGGCCCAGTTACTTTCCTGATGTATGTAAGGGAAAGACATGACAGATTCACATACATTTGAAGCTGATAAAATAAAAAGAAATCGCTTAAGAACTTTAATATAATTAAACCACCACTTCACGGAAAGAATGATGGTTTAAATGTTTCAATATGGAACGAGAGTCACAAGCACCGCCAATTTCCTTGTACCCGTCTTATATATAAATGGTGCGCAACAGAAAATCCAAAACGCATCCTTCAAGAGGACCAGTACTTGGGGGGGATAAAAGCCAGGAAAAGATCTCTCGAAGAAGGGATTCTGTAACCTGAGGTTGAAGGTTCTCAGCATATCTGCATCACTTCAAAATCTGACTAAAAATTGCAACACAAAAATACAAATACAGCCCACTCCATTTTTTGGGAGCTTCATGAAAGGGAAAAAAACATATGGTAACCACTTGACAAAGTAAGAGCAATATATTTGATTGATACTATATGAAACAATTTTATTTTATTTTATTTTTTAAAATTAAATGAAGATCTTCATTCTAACACCGTTGAATCATAATCTCAGTTGTTTGGGCCTGCAAAAAAAAAAGGGATCCAAACCCTGTTACCATTGGATTGAGCCTCAGTTGAGGATCCAAACCCAAGGATCAGCTTTCTCCGGGCTATTTATTTTTTTTCCTGGTCATTTCCTCGTAATATTGCCCTAAGCAACATGGTCCACCTAGACTAGTCTTTATTTTTGGGGCTTGGCCCTCATTTGTACAAAAATAACTACATCGTCCACTAGTTCTTCGTTTCCACATCAAATGAAAATGGGATAGCCCGTCACTGTTCAGACAGATGTATTTAAAAAAGGAAAAAAGGAACTTCAAAAGCCTTGAACGGAACGGAAGAGCTAAGCTGCGGAATATTTTTTATGATCATGAATTCAGGGAAACTTCTACTCACCTTCTGAGACGGTGTGTTCCCCTCAAATTCTTTGGAGTCTGTTTGGTACGAGGAAAACAGGAGAGAAGAAAAGGAAGGGAGGAGAAAATCTTAATAAATTTAATTTAAAAAATTGAAGAAGTTGGGTTCAAAACCTTAAGTTAATTTTGCTTGCTCTTTTATCTTATATATTCTTTTTATCAAAATTTTATAACCCTGTTTTTTAAACTTTTTAAAATTAAGTTCGTTAAAATTTTCTCTTTCCCTCTCTTTCTTTCCAATTTCCTCAGTACCAATCATAGGGTTAGTTGAGATCAGCCACAATTATATACTAAATTATAGTGAAAGGATTCAACAAAGATAAAGAGGAGGTATCGAAAAGAAATGAAATTAGTTAAGCTGGATACCTAATTAATGAAATTAACTTATCATTTTTAGATTTCCCTTTATTTATGAACAATGACCCAATGATAAAACAAGCTTTCAAGTTAAAAAAACGATTAAAACTTTGAAGGAAAAAAAAAAAAACGCTCCGGTGTCCTTAAGCCATGTTTATTTTGAAAGCAAGTTTATGTTGCTTCTAATGAAGCAGTGTGAATCCTGAGTTTGGAGAAACCAAGTTGTCTGCAAATTAATTTGCAATTCAGGATTCATACACATCTCTGCTTCTACATTTTTCACTCCCCCCCCCCCCCCAAAAAAAAAATCAGCGTGTCACTGATGCGTTTTTATTCTGAACATTGTTCATAAGGAAAAAGCCGCTTTATAAATTTGACACTTGTTTCAGCAATTGAAACAATTCACTCCTCAATCAAAGGAATACTACAAGCCTGCGATCACCAGAAGGAACTGGACTCTTTTCCCACCATAATAGACCGCATAGACAATATGACAGATATTTTTTTAACCAGACCCTGTATTAGTTCAAACGATTTTTTTTGGTTGTAAAAAAAGATTTGAAGTTCAAATTAAAATAAGAAAAAGGGAGAGAAGAACTAACATTTTAAATAAAAAGAACTTAAAAAACCCAACGTCTCAAAGTCATGTAATGATTAGAAAAGAAATCAAACTTATAATGTAGGAGTGAATTGAAAATAAGAGCATTTACTCAATTTTTTAACAACGCAGTGAAACAATTTTTCCTTTTGCCTTTCGTATTCTTTTCCTTCTGGAAAAATTGTTTATTAAAATGTGTTCAATTTTTTTTTCAGGGGCGAAGGACACGAGGAGACGACTGGAAGAGGCTTATGTTAGTCGAAACGATGAGGAAAAACATGAAATGAGAACAATGAAAAACAACTTTTAAACCCGAGTATTTCATTACAAGTAACCATAAAATCTAATTTCTAATTAAAAAAAGTATAAAACAGCTAATTAATGCAATCCAATAGTTAGATCTATAAAACGGCCCAGCTGAGCCCAAGTCAGTAGTATAACAAGCAGTGGGCTTGCACAAAAGCCCATCAAAGATATTCTAAAGTGTACAACAAAAATAGTCAAAATTATGAAGCCGGAATGCTCAGTTTTGTGGTGATTTAGCAGCTACGCCCAGCCACGGCATTGACTCCACTGGCTTGCTAGGACCCACTGTGGGCTTGCTTCCTTGATATGGTGCTTTGGCAGCAATTCTGGAAAACACAAGATAAAACACAACATCATCAAACATTTGACCCAGATCAACGTCATCAATCTTCAACAAATGACTCTAACTGATGTTGCTCATTAGAGTTATGCATATTATTTACGATTATCCTGATTGCTTACCTATCCTTTCTCTTCTCCAAGAACCGGTGAAGCGATGCGTTACGCATAATAGGTAGATCTGCAAAGAGAGGAAAACGATGATCAGAAACAAATCATCCACGAAACATAAATCTTTTCAAGGTTTAAACAAAATATTGATAAAAAGATCATACCACAAGTAACAGGTCTGGACGGTGGTTGAGGATGAGGAGTGATTGAAGCGCTCGGATCAGCGGAGGTTCTGGCCAAATTAGCAGGAAACGAAGGTGCGCTCTGAGCAAAAGTGTAAACAGAGGGGTTCTGGCTTTGGGTGTTTCCTTTGCTGGCAAAAGACATGATCTCCTTGGCTTTCTCGGCCGGAAAATCATCGAAAACAATTACTTGTCCGCCATAAAAGATGGTCAGTTGTGGAGCTTTAGGATCCTTAGTCACTGGCTTAGGAACACTGCAAATCATGGGAGAGATCATCGATCAAGGTACTGGCAATTTCCCATACAAAATTCATGAGAACAATATGTACGGAAAATGTAAGATACCTGGAATTAGAGGGTAAATCCTGTGTGTTTTCCTTAGGTGGAAATAAGTCCATGGTCGTCGCAGTCTGACAAGATGCTTCAGTTGACCCTGTGAAAGTTTTGGACAAGAAAACATTGATGAGAAACCAACCATTTATGAGGTATCAAGCATGTTTTTGACCAATATGCTGCAAGCTTCTTAAACTGAAACCACAGAATAAGAATCCTAAACATTTGGTCAAAATTATATCTCAAGAAATGACGGGTAACTTGTGCAAGATTTCGGCGTGTGATTTTATATTCATGAGTATGCATAACACAATAATCAGCGTGGTCGCGCGCGGAGAAAAAGGCTTGCGCCGTGATAAGCGAAAAACTAGATCGCACACTTGTTTGATGAAATACAAAGATTACAGAGTGAAACTCGAAACAGAGGTCCATGTCTGGGAACGGGGGAGCAATAAACCAGGAAAACGGAAGCATGCAGAGAGAGGCAAGAGACACAAACTGTCTGCTCTCTCACTAGAATTTCTGCCCATCGTTTTGGACGAACCAGGGAGCAAGGAATAAGTAAACATGAAGATCATTCAAAATCCAAAACTTTTTCTATAAAACTCTCTTTTCCGAGGAACCAAACAGAAAGAGTACAAGCGACATAAAATGGGGAAATAGAGAGAATGGAATCATACCGATTGCTTGGGTGCCCCGCGTCATCCCAAGGGCAAGATCACCAAAGCTTCCCTTCTCCTTCAGGTACTGACTCAGCAGACTGCAAGTCTGGGAGAAAGAAGGCTTCTCCGGCGACGTGGCCGGCTTCGGGCCGGGAAAATCCGAGGAGCTCGACATTTGGCACCAAATTGACCGAGAAAACAGGCGATTAGTGCTGAGAAAGAGACAACAGGAGGGTCGTTGCTCAGAGAATTGAAGAAATCAAAAGGTCGATGAGGCACGAGAGCGTTTGAATTTGAAGTTGACAAACAGGAACGACGGAGAGAGAGAAGTGTTTGTGTTTCCAACGAAGGAATCTGGTAAATATAATGGGCCAGCGGGAGGGAGAATTATCTTAAATTAACAAAAATAATGGGAAGGGTTTTGGAAACGAGTGGGGGGTTTTTTTATTTTTATTTTTTAATTTATTTTGGCGGGGGAATTGAAGCACGAGGAATACGTGGGGGTGGGGTTTGTTTGGCTTTCCCTTTCTTGCCTCCTAAATTGCAGTTGTCCAAGTCCAACCCGTAACCTTTATTTATTTTTATTTTTTTTTGAATTATTGCTGGTTGGTTTGGCCAACAAGTCCACTGTGCCCCCGCGATATTACTTTATTAATTGATTCACGCCTCTCTCGTTTTGTATTCACTTATTCCACCACGTGTTCTTTGCTTCCTTCAAACGGAAACCGCTCATGTTCTCGAGTTCTTCTTCTCTCCCTTCCCCCTCCTCCTGTGCATTGCGTGTCCTTTAAGACCTTCTTTATTAACTTTTTTTTTTAATTATTTAAAAATATTTTGATTTTCAATTCCCCCCCATAAATGTCATAAATTCATTTTTTTCCTACCCATACATCCTCCAATTAAATTAAAATTTGAAGATAATGCCATTCAAAACACCATGAATATTAAATGAGAATGTTTTGCTCAACATATAATGATACTCTACTTTTTATCTTGTAAATTTATTTAACATATTGGGTGATGAAATTCTTCTAATTAAAAGACGATTTACATTAATTTTTAATTCGTGAAAAGAACTTTATATACTGTGGTTAGTCATTCGCGATTTTTTTTTTAAATAAAATTTTGAGTTAAATTAAATATTGGGCGACCTTGTGCCCCGAGTAATATTTTAAAAGTCTAGAATGTCTAAATGTTTAAAATAAGATTGTTGGTTGATGTTGAATAAGTGCAGCTAGGAGCGCAGCCAATAAGAAAAAAGGAGGTAAAACTCACGGAAAAAAGGGGGGAAAAAAGAAAGTAAAACGATGTCCATGTTTGAGGAAGACGCGAGGAAACTTCGCGGCTTTAATAAACTACACAAAAATTCAACATAGTTTAATCATATGTCTGGTATGACTTAAAAGCTTGGTTATGGGTATAATATACTTAAACAGTGCAGTGCTCTATTAAACTTGACAGCTATACTGCCTCCAATAGTTAATACTCCTCCTGTCCTTAATATAGGACTCAATTCTTGAGTTGATTTTAGTCCTAAATATAAGACCCCTTTCTCATATTTATCAATTTTCTCTAAATTATCCCTATGAATACTCCCTCAACCATAATCAAGTAAAAGAGAGAGATGGGGTATTAAGAAAGATGATTATGGTGTTTTAGGAAAAATGTGTCACTTTTCTTATAATTAACTAATTTACCTAACTTCCTTAATCTAATCAAATTAGTTAAATGGGTCTTATATTAAGGACCGGAAGAGTATAAGAGTTTATTTGACTTTTATTTTAATACTAAATAGAAGACCTCAATCTATTTTGTTTATCATATTTATCTCTTTTTTTCTAAAGTAGTCATTATCATAATGATAATTCTAACCAATACACTTGATTAGTAGTAAGGATATTTTAGGAAAGATAATACTTATTTATTACAAATAATTAACTCGACTAATTTTTTAAATCTACTCAAATTAGTTAAGTAACTCTTACAGTATCTATATATTTTAAAATTAACCATGGAGATGTTTGACTGATTCAATTATGAGAATTTCATGTTGAAAGCAGGAACTCCAGTGAAAGCTATCGCCTTCGATGCCGGAAAAGCCACAGGCATCACGAAAACACGTCACTAGGAAAACTAGTTTATTATATTCTCATTGCTTCCAAATTTGACTTTGGTTACCGTGCTGGAAATGTGATCATTATGTTTTTAAAACTAATACTACCTCTGATCCTAATTACAAGACCTTATTTATAGACTATAAGTAATATCTTATATAATCAATACAGGAACTAGTAATTAGAAATGGTTATCGAGCTAGCTCGATTAATGATAAGTTATATATAAACCGTGCATGCCACATAGTAGTTCAGTATTATTCTTGATAAATATAAATATGATAGAGAAGGACGCCATGTTTTAATCTCAATGTGTTTTTTTTAAAAAAAAATTGTTGACGGTGGAAATGCTTACACGCTATCCTTGCCATGCTTAATCATGTATAGTTAATATTAATTCGGGGTCTCATCTGAAATTTAAGTTTAAAATATATAGATATATCTGTCTTAGGGAACTCTGCTTATGCATGTATGCTGGATCCGTCCCTCGTTTCATGCTTAAAAGAGTTAAAAAAAAAAAAAATGACGATGAAAGCGACGTTAAGTGTATAGTAATCCAAATGTAAATTTATGAAAAAATTAGTTATACTACTGAAATCTTCAATCTTTTTTATCGAGGATGCCCGTGTTATTTGTACAGCGATAGTGCATATGAATTCCCCGACTATACTCTAGTTTTGGCAAACAGATAAAATTTTGCCATCATGACAATCCGATCACCGCTTTTTTTATTTTTGGCCAAAAAACCTTCCAACACTGTTACTGTTACTGTTACTTCTAATCAAACTTATAATCATGCGTGTAAGTCACGGACGGACAAACAAAAATAATAACTATGCCTATGAGGTAAAATATCAGATGCCTCTACATACACACTGTTGGCAAAAGGTTCTACAAAATAACAGTGAAGTATGAAAAGAGGGATAGAGATGGGGTAGCTCGTAAAAGGCTGTTACATCTATAGGTTTACAAACTAATAGGCTGCCTTTGGATGAAAACCAACTCGACGTCCGACCATGCCCCAAAACTGCCGGTGGCTGGACGGGTCAAACAGCTAACTTTAGAAAGATTCAAGCGATGTCGGTTTGGCGCTAAACTTCTCCCACACCAGCATTGGGGGCGTGGGGGGGAAAGCACAAGCAAAACATTAATCAATTTGAAATACTCGTGTTAGGAGAAAAAGAACGAATCCAAATGAGTTGGAGGTTTTTTTTTTTTTTTTAAATCATAAACAAAGTAACGAATTAAATTAACATAATGTTACAGATTCTCCTTAGGCTAGGTAAGGCCCTGGTTAACTTTCAGTGTGCATGCTTTAAAAATATTACGTCCGGTCCTAATTAGAAGACCCAGTTGACTTATTTGAAGAGATTAAGGAAGTAAGTTAAGTTAGTTATTTGAATAAATAAGTGTCGTTCCTAAAAATAAGTGTATTGGCTAAAACTATCATTATTAGAAGGACTATCTTGGAAAAAAATAAATATGAGAAAATAGATTCTTATAATTAGAACCAAATAAAAGTCAAACGGGCTCTTATATTAAAGACCAGAGGTAGTACATTGGTAAATTAATTTTGAATCATAGAGAAATGTAAACAATAAAAAAATATAACGGTTAATTAATGAAATAAAATTATGAATAATGACTGATGATTCAATTCACCGGAAAAGCGGCGGGTCGATGAGAATATAGCCAACGACCAAAAAAAAAAAAAGCCTAACCTATACTAAAATCCAAAAACCTTGCACTGCTCGATCAGTTTTCATAGATAGGTACCTATAATTGCCTTTTCCCCCTCTTGATTCAAAGAGAACAGCACAGTATTTGTTTGCAACGGTTAATTGTGGAGGAAAAAAATCTCGAGGTTCCATGAAATTCATTTATAAACTTAAAAAAAATGATCTTATTATGTTGATAACAAAATAATATATACTACTTCTCATCCTAAACATAAGAATTAGTTATGGATCTTAAATATAAGATTTCAATTTACATTATCTGTGAGATTATAATGTGTTTTAAAAAATATCCTATTGATTGTAAAATACTTCCTCCAAAATGTAAGTTCAATGTAAATGATTAAATAAGAATAATTTAAAAAAATAAACACACATTTGTCACGGATAATTAACTTAAATTAGTTATTTAGCTTTTATATTATTTTGTCCTTAATATAAGACCTTATTTGATTTTTATTTTGGTCCTACATATAAGATCTCAATCTATTTTGTCTCTTATATTTATACATTTTTCAAGGTACTCTTTCTAATAATGATAATTCTAGCCAACACATTTAATTAGCAATGATATTTTAGAAAAGACAATATCTATTTATTACAAATAATTAGCTTAACTTCTTTCTTTAATCTTCTTAAATTAGTAACTAACTCTTATAATTAAGACGAGGTAGTATTAAACACCAAAAATAATATGTAAGAGTGTAAAAGAAAAACTGTTTAGCTGCTTGAACCATAGCACGTGGTGGGAAAGAGGAGTGTGACGGTGAAGCTGGGAAATAAAGAACGAATGTTGAGCAAATGGATCCAAACGTTAGAAAACAAGATCTGCGTCCGGAGGGCGAGCCTGGTGCGTTGGAGGCGGGACCTAATCCAATACACGGATTCATCGTGATTCCTGAATAGCTGTAATTTAGGATATTTGCCCTCATGATATCCGTTCCCCGTTTCACGCGGCTCCATGTAACGGCTCTGGTTCCTGCACAACAACTCAGTATAGAGTCCTCCCTTGATTTGATATTCTTGCGGGAAAAGGGGCCAAGCCACCCCAAAGATGATTTTATTCATTTGTGATTTAAATTTTATACATTATTATCTCTGATTTTAAAGTCTTTTCACTATGATCGTGATGTTTAATATAAAACAGAAATGAATTTAAAATTTTTTGCAACAGTTTATATGGTTTCGAAAGGAAATAAGGGAAGACGATCAATTGAAAATGCATGTAAAAAATAGTTTAATTTTTAATTTTATTCTTACTTTTTACTGAAACTTTTTTCAATATCTAAACGTGACTGTTTTGTGAGCCCTTTTCATTCTAGAACGCAAGAAAGGAAGTTTAGGGGGCCAAAAAAATAAGAGACACTCGACGCTCGTGAAGGAGTCAAAAAAAGGAGTTAAGAATTGCGCGTTCGTCGGAGCAATAATAATGCGACACATGGCAGAAGCCCGCGGATGGCTTCTCCGCGTGGAGGGCAAAGTTTTTCTTTAATTCGC